ACAAGCCCCCCACGCCCCCCCCCCCCAGCCCAGCGGCTGTATCTCAAGGGTCTTGGTCCTTCAAGTTGGCTGCTTGGTTGCAAAAGACTGCAAGGCTGTTGCTTCCAGCCAACGCCAGCACCGGGGCCGTGTTGCTCCTCACCTCTCTCTATGTCCATGATGACGGAGGTTTTCCCCGCGTTGTCCAGCCCCACGACGAGGAGGGTCACCTTTCTGGGGAGTGACAACAGCGGGTGAGCATCCCAGAGAAAGGTTGGGCTCCCTGGGGAGCGGTGATCACTGCTGGCCCCAGGGCTCCCAGGCAAGGGACCCTGCGCACTGTGGCCGTGTTTTGGCCAGGAGAGGGGCAGGACGGTGACACAGGCCCTGGCCGAGCGGGGGGCGAGGGCAGGGACAGTCCCTGGGAGAGGGCGAGGGCAGGCACAGGCACCTGGAGCCACCCCGGCACTGTGGGTCAGCCACGCTGCGGAGCCTTCAATGCACTTCCTATGGCAATGATTTCTTTCCAGATCACATAGGATTAAGCAATGACATGCACAGGCCAAAACAATTGTTCCTTATATGCAAAGAGTTAATGATTGCTCTCGGGATCCTTCCGCATCAGAGGGTCACGGGTATATGTGGCTGGGGAGAGGGAGCAAGGACATTTTACGAGCTTCTGCCTGGACTCAGGAGGTTTTTCCTGTTGCTAAACAGCCCTGTTTGGTCTCCAGCGATGTGCTCCACTGGAGCCACGTGCAGAACGTTTTCCCTGCGGTTGACAAGCCCCAGTAGTCATTCGCAGTGTCCATTTCTTCCTTAAACATAGAGACCAGGCTGCGTGGGCGGCGCGGCTCCACCTCCAGCATTACGGCAACGTGTCCTCGTTGGCGGGAGAGGGCCAGAACCCCCCTCACCGCCTGCCGTGCTGGTGCAGTGCTGTCCCCAGGGAATTAACCCGGGTCTCCTGAGGCGTGTAAACACGGCAGGTGTTTCACTTCGTCCTCCCCAGCTTTCTTGGGGAGCTGCTGACTTTGCACGGGGGGGAATCCTGCTGGGCTCATTCCCCGCATGCTCACCCCTGCCTGCCCTGCTCCCCCCCCCTCCCAGCTCCTGCCTGTTGGAGGGGCAAGCGAGGATGAGGGCGTGCTTCGCTCCGCGCTTTGGGGATGGTTCCTGACACGGGCAGCGCTCTCGTGGTGTTACCGCACCAGTGCTCTCACCGATAAACCCGTGGGTAAATGTTGTGCCCCCCGGGGAGCCCCAAGGAGCAGGCACGGGGACCTACCTGACAGGCTCCTGTATGGCCTTCAGCCATGACCAGCAGTGGGAGAAGAGGTGGAACATGCTCGGCAGCCCCACGCGGAGGGATGGCCTCTCTTCAGCACCTACGAAGCGAGCAGCCTGGCTTGCCTCTGTGCTTCATCCTCCTGCCCATGCCTGCTCCCCATGGCGGGTGGGGAGCATCTCATCCCAGGGTACCCCATCCCACAGCCCAGCACTGCTGCCTCCAGCCTGATGCATCCAAGCCAAGCCAGGGGACAAAAACCAGCCCCTCTGTGGGCATGGACCCCCCCCCAGCCAAACCCTGCCCCGCCAGCCCCTTCTTGCATTGCAGGAGCGCCAGTCAGGCTCTTACCCACTCGTCCCCGCTGCGCGTCCCCTGCTCACATCCCCTTTGTGTAGCGGCTGCTTAAATCTAATCTGGATTTAAATTACTTACTCCTGGCAACCTCCTTAATCCTGGTGGGTCGGCCCAGGCCGGTGGCCGCTGGGACATGGAGTGTGGTGGGGCTGCCCGCCACGCTGGGCAGCATGGCACGGCACTGCATTACCCACCCACCTGCGCCCACGTGGCGATGGGCAGCCTCATGCCTCCGTCACTGGCTTAAATGGGTTGTGGTGGGGACATCGCCTGACAGCCCACGTGGGGCTTGCCACTGAATTAGTGTCTCCTCTAACGAATGGTGTCCCGGGCTCCTCGCTGCCTAATCCCTGTGTGGATGTTTCTCTGCAGCCCCTGCAAGGAGCAGCCCCTGCACGGTGTGCACGGCTCTGCTGTCTGCCCAGGGGTCCCCTCTGTGCCGGGCTGGGGTACGTCATCCCTCACTGCCCGTGTTTCATGCCCTAACGAAGCACCCCTTGAGCAGCAACAGGTCCCGTGCCGCTCAGAATAGCAATACCAACCAGCCCAAGCGGGTGCCTGGCCAGGAGCAGGGAGGTGGTGGGGGCCTTTGGACAGCAGGGCAGGGAGCGGACCCAGAAAAAACCCCAACTCCTTGATCTGCAACCCCGAAGCTCTTATCTTGCTCCTCAGGTTTCCTGCTGCTTCTGCCAGCCAGGGCTGTCCTCCCTGGCACGCTGGGGGGGGGGAAGGGGGTCCAGGGGGATGAGGACACAGGACCCACCAAAAGCCACACTGAGGAGCAAACAGGGATACTGCTGGCTCACGTCGGTCCATGCTAAACCACCCAGCACCAACAGCACTCGACCAGCCGAGCCCCAGACATGAGTCAAGGATGTTGAGATGCTGCCAGGCCATCCCACATCTCTGGGATGGCCCTGGGGGTGCAAACCTGGGCTGGGCACGGCCCCCTGCTCCAGCCCTGCATGCTGCTGGGGAGCTCAGCACCCACCCCTGGGCAAGGGAGCTGTGCCAGAGCCGTGCCACGGGCAGGGAGCCATGCGTGGTTAATGATTGATGGAGGAAGTTTCCATACCCATATCACAGCCACATGCAACAACAGTGTTTGGGGTGACTGTTCACCCTCACACCTCCAATGGCGGGGCAGTGGCTGCTCCCCAGCTGCCTCAGCCTGGCCCAGGGACAGAGCCCTGTTCCCAGCCTGATGGCCTTTCCCGGTTGCTCCCATGCCAGCAGCCTGCCGGGACCAGTGGCAGTGCTGGGTTTGCAGGCAGCGTGGGGCTGGGAAGCTTTTTGCAGAATAAGCTGTACCAGGGCCGAAATGACGTGCTGGAAGCATCAGTGCCTGCCTCTGTGCCTCAGGGTGGCACAGCCAGGGGATGGCTGGGCAGGGGACAGGAAGAGGTACGGCCATGGGTGCTGTAAACACAGGGAAGTGCCATGGGGCAGGCAGCCCTGGGGACAGCAGCATGGCATCCCCGAGGGGCAGCAAGAGCCGGTCTCCCTCTGGCACCAACGGACTTCCAGAGGTCTCTGAGCACTTGGGGCTCTGCTGCTTTTAACACAAGTGTCCAAAATCCTTCGCCAAACCGGCACTGGGGACAGGGAAGCCACCCAGGAGCCTGAGTCAGCTCCAGGTCGCCCCTCCTGATGTGAACGCAGCAGGCTCAATGGCTGGGAAAACCTCAAAATGCACCCCAAATCTGGTGAAACCCACACCCGACTTGGGAGAGGTGACATGAGGGCCGAAGCCAGATGGATGGGCACCGTGCCGGGCCTGGGCTCGGGTTACCGCCCGGCTGCTGGCCCCTTGCCGGGGTGCAGCCAGACCCTCTCTGCCAGCGCTGTGGGGACCCCCGGGCAGTGCCAGCGGGACCCGCAGCAGCCATCTGGGTTTCCTTGGTGACTGTTGCCAGGTGAGAAACTCTAAGACAGAATTTATTATCTTGGTGGATAACTGGAGATGTTCGTTGCTAGAGCCGTTACCGGACTGTGCCCCGGCACCGTGCTGGGCTGGACCCTCTAGTGCCGCCGGTGCCAGGGGGAGCCCCCGAGGGAGGGCTGTGCCCGGGGCGCCGGGGCTGCTGGACCTCTGGCATCGCTTCCCAGAAGGCGGCACGTGTTTTGGGGCTATTTCTGCCTGCTGGAGTGTCGTAGGCGAGGGAAGGAGGCGAAATCACGGGGACCGCGGAGAAGCGCAGATGGACGCGGGCTGGCGGGCTGCCCTGCCTTGGCTTCCCTAGACCTTGTGAGTACGTGCCCGAGCCGCTATGGGGCACACCGGGGCCCCCTGCCCGGGACCCCTGGGGTGAGGAGCAGAGTTCGGGGCAGGGGGGATGGCAGTGGCAGGGCTGGGGGAGCTTGCACATGGGGAACGACAGCTTGCAAAGGAAAGCAGTGGGCAGCGCAGAGCTATAGGGGCTGCCTATAGGATTTGCTGGGAGCCTTGAGCCCGGGTGGCACCAAAAGCGAGGTGATGACAAAGACCAAAAAAGTCCCAGTGGAAATATTGACAAGCAAGCTGTCCTGCTTTGCTTGAGACCTCATCGTCCCTACCCAAAAAAAGCATCTGCAGCGGGGCAAGGACATGCACGGGCTTTGGGGAGGGACTCGTCTTTCTATTTAACGCGTCAGACGACGGCATCGGCACGGTAGATATGCAAATAACCGCATCGTCCCTTTAAATCCCAGCCCAGCTCTGGTGGCTAACGATAACCCCGGATCATAGGAGCTCCTAAATCCCAAGAGCTAATTACAGGCAAACACCCTGCGGTCAGGCTGGAAATGCAAGATAATTACAGCCTGTGCTGTGGAGACCTGTTGGTGATGAACTGGGGCACTGGGAATGTTTGCTGGCTGGCTGGTGTGGTGGCAGGGAGGGCGGCCGGTTTGCACCGTGGCCTCCGCGCCGAATGGCGCGGAGGCCACGGTGCAAACCGGCCGCACTCCCTGCCACCACACCAGCCAGCCAGCAAACATTCCCAGTGCCCCAGTTCATCACCAACAGGTCTCCACAGCACAGGCTGTAATTATCTTGCATTTCCAGCCTGACCGCAGGGTGTTTGCCTGTAATTAGCTCTTGGGATTTAGGAGCTCCTATGATCCGGGGTTATCGTTAGCCACCAGAGCTGGGCTGGGATTTAAAGGGACGATGCGGTTATTTGCATATCTACCGTGCCGATGCCGTCGTCTGACGCGTTAAATAGATATTTTGGGCAAGGCAGGTTGTTTTTCTGGCGTGCTCTTTGCTCCCCCGCCCGCCAGTACCACCACCCCGCGGCGGACACAGAAGCAGGGGAGGAAGCGTGCGGGGAAGCTGGTTGCTTTCCACCCAATTTCTGGCTGGGTGCATCCCAATCAGAGCACACACAAATTCATGGGAGAAGGCTTGGATTTCGGCGCAAGGTCCCGTGCCAGGGTTTGCTCTGCTCCCTGCTGCACGGGGAAGCTGCCAGCTCACTCCTGCGCCGTGCATGCAGCTCGGTGATGCCCCTGCGATGGCTACAAGCCCTCCCCGGGGTTCCCACAGGGGTTTTGCTGAGAGCATTACACTCCTCCTGCTGCCTTCCTGCAGCAAAGCACGGGGGGGAAAGGAGGGTGTAAACCATCCCTCCTGCCTGCCAGGATGCCTGGGCATGCGCAGTCTGGCTGGGTTAGCACGCTGCCAGGGCTGTATGCTCTTACAGCAGGTGGGACCGGGGCAATCAGTTAATTAAAAGTAATTTTAACCCTTCCTGCCTGCTTTAGCGTTACAGCATCACCTGCTGCCTGAGCTGGGGCTGTAGCCAAAATGAGGCTTGATTTCAAAATGTATAATTACCACGAAGACCTATAAATGCACACAAAGAAGGTAACTCCGATTTTCTTGTTAAAGAATTTAAGCCGTGAGGCAGCAGTAGCATGGCCCGTGCCGGAGGAGCACCCCGGCGCTGGCAGCACCGACCCCAGCGGTGGGCTCAGCACAGCCTCCAGCCTGCCGTGAGATTTAGAGGGATGAGGTCCTCAGGGCAGACACGGGTTTTTCTCCCAGCAGCATAAGGGAGTGAAGTTGGATGAGGAAACAGTAAAAGCAGGCGCATGATGAAGCAAACGGAAAAAAATATTTCCCCAACCAGAAACTATTCCACAGGCTGCTGGGGCAGGAAAGAATACAGCTGAGTTACTGAGAAAGCAATGCAAAATCCAAACAGTTTAGGCTGTGAAAACCAGTCATTTGCAAAGCTATTTCCAAACTAAGTAAAAAGTTGCCGGCTCACAGCTTCCTGGGAGCCCCCCAGCTGCCAGCCCTGCGGTGGGGGCAGCGTGGCTCCCTGCGTCCCCTGCTCATTGCATGTCGAGCTGCGGAACACTTTGTGATTTCCACTTCATCCAGCACACGGGGGTCTTTTGGGCATCAACACATCCCCTACATCACTCTGTGTGGCACCAAGCTGAATATTTAATCCTCAGCACAGAGCGGAGAGGTTTCCGATCTGAAAGGGCAGCGGGGGGGGAGCACAGCCCTCGCCTCCCCCTGAGCAGCTGCCTCCACCTCTGTGTGCAGGGCTATATTTGGGGAGCTGGCAGCGTGGGCTTGGCACGTCCCAGCGAGTGCTCTGGGAGTGATGTCTGCTCCGAATCCTGGTGCAGGGGGGTGCGGAGAGGAGAGGAGAGGAGAGGAGAGGAGAGGAGAGGAGAAGAGAGGGAAAAAAGAGGAAAAGAAAAGAAGCAGTATGGCAAGTCAAGGTTTCTTTATATTACCCCAGGGTAGGAGAGGAGTGGAGAGGAGAGGAGAAGAGAGGAGAGGAGAGGAGAGGAGAGAGCTTGGAGGA